TACTCTCATATTTTCACATTTCGCATTTCATTATTTTTGGGCTATAATGCCGACCGCTTCATATTAGAACCATTAAATTCTGTTTTCATGTTGTCGCAAATGCGATGCGTGTCAACCCATTTGTTTGCCTATTTATTCATATTTTTAGCGCACCTACATACATACATATTTACCAACTCCTACATTCTGTTCATTGGTGTGCTTGCTTGCTAGCTAACCAGCGTTCATACGAGTACATACGCCACTGCAACAGCCGCAAACACCAAACTCACGCACATACACACATACATAAGTAGTATGCATATTTGTGCGCGCTGATAATATAAATTGTTGCTGTCACTTGTTGTGCTTATGACATTCGCATTTGTTTGCTATTGTTTCTCTATGTGTATACGTACATACCTACATACATACCTACATATATATGGACAAACAAGCAAGCAAACAAACAAACAAAATAAAGAAAACTTACTCGAAAATAAGTACAAAAACCATAAAGAACCGAAGCATATTTTTTTTTAATTTTTTCATCGCTCGCTTAAGCATAAATTAGCATAAATTTTACCTAATGGCGCAGAAACAGTACTTTTTCTATCTTTTAGAGTTGGCATATTTTGAAAGGCTGGCATGTTTAGAAAAATGTTTAAGAATTTTAAATTTCATTCTGCATTTAACTGAAATCTCTTTGCATCTTTAGCAATTTGATTAAGTGATTTGGAAATATAAATAAAATCTGCTTGGATTAAAAAACACTTTAACGTTATTATTTTAAGTTCTAATACATCCTAATTTGAAAGCTCGATTACTGTTGCGTAATGGGATTACAATGGCCAAAAATAGTTAAAATAGATTAGCAAATTCTGATGAAGCAATTACGCATAGCAAAATTTTGAACTCAGCCAAATATAAAAGAATTTGCATATTTGCAGTCATGGGATGTGAGCTATAAGTAAATACAATGTAAAAAATAAATTTGTAAGAAAAAATTTTTAATTGTATCGCAATTAATTTAAATTAATTTTTCTACTAGTGCGGATAAATATAATTGATAATCAGTTTTTTTAATATATCTGTGGTCAAGCATTGCTTTAAATTTTTATATACCTAACTGCTGAAATTCATACGACAGTTTCACTTAACAATTCTAAAAAGGGATATATGTATATATAAAAAGGTTCAAACAACGCAGCTGACTATATCCTTAGGCCAAGTAAACATTAAGTATGCGCGTCGTATTTAAATCACTTCTAGCTCCTATTCTTATTTTTATAGACACATCTGCTGTTAAATTTATTGAATTTTTTGTTTAGAGCTGAAAGAAAGCACCTTTATATGTACATAAAGTATATAATATGCAATAAAAAACAGAAATTGAGGAAGATGTAGATATTTATGATGCGAGAATCTTTGAATCAGATTCAATATTCAGCCAAAACTAGGCGCTTCTCTGGACAAGATCCGTTTTCGATGGCAAAAGTCCTGCTGCCTTCGCTAACCTTTTGTGGTATAAAATATAGGTATAATTTAAGGTTTCACTGGAAATATATACTGCGCACATAATCTAGTATAAAGGTATTGTAAATGCTTTTGTTTTGTCATTTTTAATTATAAGAAATAGGACTTTCTTTAGAAATAGAATAAATGTGTTTGTTACTTTTCCCAAAAAATTCATAAAATTTAGTAGTTGGTGCCAACAACGTTTTTGTAGGAGGTCTGCATCACAGTGAGAAGGTCTTCAATTGGAAAATTTTGGCTTAAACCAGCAAGGTACAACTAGTGTCTTCAAAATATAATTTTTTAAAATTTGCGCCTATTTTTGTAAGAGTTTTTTGTTCCTTCATAATTATGCTTTTGTGGTTGAAATCAGTATAAACTCCAAATTTCATCAAAATCAGATAATATTTACCATTTCCGCCCACAAGAGCTGAGGGCATGGTAGTGAGTCGACTTTTACCATTTTCCACATTTCTTCATTCCTAAGTACTGTGTGCTGCATATACGAGATTTCAACGAATTTTTAGTGCAGTGGCACCTACTTTTGGCCGCAGCTTATATGAGGACGTAACAGTGCGTGCCTGTTTCACCAGCAATTTATGTAAATGAAAAATGATTTTTTCCCTTCTTCCAGTTTTCATATTAAATGCAAATAATACAATCCTTTTTCACTTAAAGTGCTTTCGTGAAACTGGTTATTCAGTTAGAATGGCTCTTTTTCTAAATCCTTATCTCTTCCTATTCAAAGCTTACTATGAAAATTTCTTTCATTTTATTTTTCGTTACATCACCTTCTTTTGCTACTGCTTCTATCAATCCCATCAATCATTAGAAAATGCACAATGGAAAAATGTCAGCAATCATCTTCATTGTGAAGGAAGCCTGTACGCCGGTTTGATCGCGTATACGCCATGCCAAACACTGGTCGTTTAAGAAGTTTTACAAACACTTTTTTCATAAAGATTTAGAAATCATAACCTTGTATGTATTTAGGTAGAATTATTTATAACTCATTACCTTATTACCATTCAATTTAAATATAAAATAACTCGCTAGGAAGGAAAAATTCGCGTGACAAGTAGTTTTCGAAATAACCCCAAATAAAAGTGTATTTAAAAAAATTTTTAAATACTACAAAAGATTATATTCGGGCATTTATGTTCTTTGCAACCGTCATATATCGAATTTATCTTCTTTATTTTCTTACTAATACGCGCTTATTGTAAACAGAAACTGCATCAGCTAGGTAAACAAGTAATTTTTAGCAAAAAAAAAACCGACTTCAACTCTCATATAAAAAAAATATATATATATATATATCTCATGATCCGCTGATCGGATCTTAACCAGATTAGTATGGGACCACCTCTGAGACACTACCTTTCCGATGCGAAGAATTATCGAAATCGGTTGACGTGGTCCAAAGTTATGCGGTAACATACATAAAAAAAAATATTCCGACGAACTGATAACCTCCTCCTTTTTTGGAAGTCGGTTAAAAAGAGTACAAAAAGAAATTTTCATGGAACAATTATTCTAACAGGTATATTCTGCGCGTTACCGAGATTTTGTAACCGGGAAATTTTATTACCAAAAAATTTTACCAGTTCTTGTCACCGCGATTCTAGGAACGTTGGTAATGCAGTTAAAATATTCAGCGATTCAGCTATGAAGAATTGTGCAAATTCTGGCATTGTATATTTCACGGGGCAATACTTGGTTACCAGCTTATGAGATGGTAACAAAATTTACCGGTTACAAGAGTACACAGAATGCGAAAAGGGTTTAAAAATTGTCAGGAACTTTATTTACCGGTTACAAACTTTTTATTACCAGCGCAGAATAGACCTGTAAGAGAAACGTTAGACACATATTACTCCGAAAGGAGATTTTAGTAACGTCAACTAAATAGTTACCAAATCTTGCGTTGCACAGTGGGCCAGAAGAAAGAGAAAGTGGCCAAAATTCTTTTTTGACTATTTAAACGTTAAAAAAAAACAGAAACAAATATTTTTTTGGTATAGCCTATAATCTAAGGTATCAAAATCTGTGGTACATCGAAAAGTACCAGTTTATTTATTTAATTTATATTATTTAAAGAAATAAAAATACGATTTTAATTGAAAATTTTTGAGTAGTGCGTTTTATGTTAAATCAAAAAAAAAAATCATATGACTAAAATTGATAAATGGAGAATGGAGTCTGCAAATTTCTACATCCAACAAACGGTGAATATCTTATAATTCTTAAACAGTTGCCAATCACACGCGAAAAAATAATACATTATTGCACATCTAGAGGCTGAGTCTGAAAAGACTGTGACAGTGACGGCGCAGAACTGATACATTCGCTTATTAAGATAAAATATAGTTATTTTCTTAACAAATGGAAAACCTATTAAAAAATAAAACATTTAAGTATGCTTATCTAGAGGCCAATTCATTTCATTTGACATTAAATTTTTTGTGTTCCAACGAACGGTGCGGATCTTATAAATTTTAAGACAGGTGGCACACCTATAGAAATTCTAAATACCAAAGGTCACTCTCATGACGATGCAGAATATATTAGAGAAAATCTCGTCCAAATCCGTCGGGAAGTTTCCAAGATTCTCCTTTGTATTATGTGCCTATGATATGACCAGAAAGGAAGGTTACTCATACGCCGTGTATCGTTCATGTTTCTTGAAAATGTAACAATTAATTACAAAAAGCGCTAATTATCCGCCGAGTTTTATTAATATAGATATCTTTGGCTATATAATAGTTCATTATATTTTGTTTTAAATAGCGGTGGCTAGCAGTGGCGATAATCGGAATAGTGTACTTTACTAAGCTATGTAATTTTTATTAATTCAAATGTGTTTTGACACAAAAAATAATTATCAACATATTTTGTTACTGTATTTTTTCTAAGATTAATTTATAGTTTAAACAAATTTAAGAGCTAGATCTTTAGTTTTAGAATTTATTAATAAATTTTTCATAATTAAGGCTTACAAACGCTTTTTCAGATTTTATGGATTCTGAGTTTGTTTTTGCATACTCCAAGGTATCTAGATTAAATAAGATTATTGTTTTAAGCTTTTAAATCTGGCCCATTGTATATAGGTACAATTATGCATAGAAACATGCTGCTTAAAAAAGCAAGAAGCACAAGGCAAAAATAATGCGAAAATGAGAAAAAGTTTAGCCAAGTATATAATGAAATTTTGATTAAAAGAAGTGGGAATATAAGTTTTTTATAAAATATTTTTGTACTGAAATTTCTACGCTAGCAAAGAAACCCTTTTATATCTTCGCGAAAGGCTTAAAATAGCCGCACTTTTATGCATTATGTCAGCAAAACGACATGTATATAATATTTCCTCTCTTTGATTTCTTATAAAGATTATAAAAAAATAAGCAGAATTTCATACCAAACTATTTACTTTCACTACTAAATATTTTCAAATTACATATTTTACATTAATCAAATGAAAGCGAAAACTTAAATTACTTTCCCACCTTTAGAATATTAGCTCTGCTCAGGTCAGCTCAGTTTACAATCCGCTCAATACTTTACCGCGCTTCACTACACTTTGCTTGCCGACGGCTGTTTACTAAGCGCACACACTCACACACATGTCAAGCGCGCACACACGCGGGCTTTTTCCACTCCAATTCAGTTCCCTGACGTAATAAATTCTTTCGGTTTCGTTTTTTTTTTTGTTTTTTTTTGCAGCTTTTTTGTTTGTGTTTTTTGTTAGGCTTATATTTCTAAGACGTCACAACTCACTGTCGCACCCACTTGACTACTTAACAGCGCTTTATGTGCTTAATTTAGTCGCAAAATATTTTCTCTGTTTTGAGAGATATTCAATAACTTCATAGATAAGACGCACAATTTTTGACGCGTTCGCTGTCGCTGCTGCTACGAGTCACTGGTACTGTTTTTTTTTTTATTATTTATTTTTAAATTTTTTTTATTAACTCTTTATTTGTAAGCAAAAGAATTTTCAAAAACACATTTGTACATATACATATTTACACATAAACATTCTTCAATTTTTTCGCAATTTATTTGTTATTTTCCATTGCTGCTGCAGCCTCCATTGCTACCACCCGTCCATACAATTCGTCAGTGTTTTATCACTGTCACAAGCAAACAAAACCGAAATTTTATCTAGTCGCTGAAGCTCTATGCTTGTTTGTTGTTGTTTCTTTATACATATAATACAATATATAGGTATGTATGTACAACTCTATGTATATATATTTTAATTTTATTTTTTATATCTTAAGTATTCTTTGTTTTTTTTTATAATTTTTCTCGTTTTCCACGCGTTACCGCCGGCAGTTCCACTGAAACTGAGCCATTTCGTGCTGTGACATTTGCTTTTATTCATTGCGGCTAAAACGTCCGCAGCGAAGTTAGCCCCGCTCACTACCTCGTTAGCGTCTACACCCGCACTTGTATTGTTTGCATGCGTTGTACATCTCGCAATTTTACTCTATCTCTCTTACTTGCTGCTCAAACAGAGCGATATTGTATAGTGTTTTTGGTATAGAAACGGAGCAAGTGGTGCAAAATACTGTGAGACAAATATTTTACGCACTTTTCCAGAGAGTAACGTTGCAAATTTTCTTTGCAAAAGAGGCAGTTTTCTGGACAATGACGTGCTGCCATATTTATTTTGTTTTGTTTTTTTTTTGCTTAAGTATTTTTAGCTATGCAGACCAAAAGCGTTATATGGTTCTATAGGCCGATAAGCCAAATTTTATTTGCTAGTTGCAGTTAATTTGTGCTACAGATAAATGTGATTACCATTAACATTACCAATACCAGTACCATTATGATTACCACTAGCATTACTATTTTCATTACATTCACAATTGATTTACCTCTTTCGCTACCAATAACATTACCATTACAACTACCATTAACATTGCCAGTACCGTTACTATTATCAATATCATTACCATTCTCAATATCATTATAAATATCAGTACCATTAACATTATCAATATCATTACCAATACCTGTGCCATTACCAATCTTAATATCAGTACTATTACTATTACCATTACCATTACCATTATATGTATTGTCATTACCATAAACTTTGCCACAGTAGTGACTTGCCATTGCCATTACCATTACCGCTTTCATTTCCATTATCATTAGCATTACTACTACCATTACCGTTACGACTGTTACGTTATTGGAATGTACCATTACTATTGGCATTGCTATTATCATTCCCATTACGAGTAGAATCACCATTATCATAGCCATGTGCATAACCATAGCCATACCCATAACCATAACCATAACCACAACCATAACCCTAATCACAGCCAGAACCATAATCACAACCATAGGAGCAACCATAACGATTACCATATCATTACAATTACGTAAATTTTTTTTCGAAAACTATGAAGATGCGAATAAATGGGCAGCGCTTCAAACAAAGAGCAAATTGTGTAACTCTCTTCATTCTACATACAACAATTACTCTCTTAGCGCGTTTTCATACAAATACTCTTAAAAATTCGTTTACTACTTATTTAAACGTCATCACTTGAAAACAAGCCTCCGTGCTTATTCACAGTTCTACGATAGAAAAATTGATGACGTCACATACGCTCTTGACACCAATGCTGCGCTGCGAGCATTACTCGTACTCATAGCCGAGTGAAGGTTGTTCGTTAACATGCAGCTGCTGCTGCACAAATCTCCAAATATCAATCGTTCGCTGAAGTAATGCATTGTTGCACGTGAAAGTTTTATGAATTACTTTAACGAGAATTCAAAAAAAAATAAATAAAAAATCAGAGAGGCGGAAGTGAAGTGCGCAAGCAAGAGGGATTGTGAAGAGATGAATACACTTGAATGAAGTATGAATCTAGTGGTTGTTGGGAAGATATAGGCCCTTTATTTATTATGAAAAGGAAGAATAAGCAAAAAATATTGTGCGATATACTTTATTTTCCCCGAAGCTGAATTTGTTCTGAAATCTTGTATAAATTAAAGGTGTATAAGGGGCGTTCCATACCATAACGTTATGAATATTTTTTACACCGAAGTTGAGTAAAATGAGTACATAAAAAATTTACAAATTTTATTAATTTCTTTAGAATTTTTTTTGAGTAAACAGTTTTGTAGCCCATTAAAGTGCAAACTTGCGTTGATTTTTAATAGTCTTTATGCTGACGGCTTTTTTCATTTTTTTCTCATGGAAGAAAATGCACAAAACCGTTTTCAAAAAAAAAAAAACAAAATTAATGCCGGTTTTGCAATCGCTTAAAGCTTGCACTTTATTATACTAAAAATTAATAGGCTACAAAACCGCATACTCAAAAAAAATCTAAAAAAAATGAAAAATTTGTAAATTTGTAATGTACTCATTTTACTCAACTTCGGTGTAAAAAATATTCATAACTCAAACTATTTTAGAGTGCACCCCATAATACTTAAATATTACTTAAATATTGCGCAATACTCAGAGCTACCATTGTGTTTTTTTTAATTTTTCTTTTTGATATGGCATATTTTCAAAAACTAATTTTTTTATCAAAAAATGTGTGTGAAAAATTTTTGAAGAAAAAAAAATTTTTTAAATACTTCTTTTCATAGAGAATTTTGATGTGTGTATGTGTTTTTTTTTGAGATATTTCAAAAACTATTAAATTGATTTGTTTTTGTTTTTGTGCTGCAAAATTTTTAAAAATGTATTAATCAAACTCAAATTTCATATTTTTTTATTATTTATGTTTATGCATCAACCCTAAAAATTTGAAACAAATCAAACATATGAAGTGTGAACCCGTCCGTTTTGGTATGGAACACCCCATTATATAGTTAGTATGTCTGCTTATGAATGAATGTCCGCTGTTGAACTCACGCTGCTTTGACGTCGAGTTTCCGTTTGCGTATAAACAAATTAGAGCTTTTAATACATACAAATCTTACCAAAATACATACTCGTATACATGGTAAATATTGTATGAGTATTTCTAAAAATGTCAAGAGAGTAGCGTCGTGTATTGTGCTTACAAACACACATATATATATATATATATATAGATGTATGCATTAGTGAACTCCTGGATTGAAGAAGTGGTTGAAGTGTAGCGCTTAACTTGGCAAGAATAGCATCAATGTTGATGACGTTGCAAATCGATTGAAACTGCCGTTGTTAGCGATATTGATGATGCTGTGTTGTGAGCAGGTTTTTGTTGTAAATTTCATTTTTGTTATCATTTCTATTTTTGTTATTCATTCACTGGCATTTTTTGTACTTTACCTTTAGGTAAAAGTGAGGAAATGGAAGCGTTGCTAAAATTTTTTATATCCACTATTTTACCCAGTATACTAAAGCCATTGCGAATTTTCAGTTTACGAGTGTTTCGGTTATCGTTAAAGAGTTCGTAATCTTGCCAAATTAAATCCATACAAAGTCATTCAAACCAATAATTATGCATATATGATAGTAGACACCAGAAATGTTTGCTAGATCTATCACAGTAATCGGTACATTTTTATTAGGCATAAGTCGGGGGTCATTCGGCGTTAGGCAAAGAACATAAATAGTGACGCGACAATGAGAACAAGAAGACATTTTCGGAGATAGCGACAAAAACAAACCTGTATGTTTCAATGTGACAGCACATAGTGAATCAAAAAAGCGAAGAAAACGACAAGGAGCATAGCGCCGGAAACAAAAAAAAATTTCTTTGGTTACTTTCTGAGCTGACGGTTTGCTTCACTATGTTTTGACGTTTCTTGTCTCTTTCTTCGCTATTATACGAAAATGTGTTGTCGCTCTCTTTGTCGCGTCACTATATTCTTTGCCTAAATATGAACGTAAGTCGCAATTCGCATCTTGTTTTCTAAACACAAAATTCGTCTGCGCAAGACGTACTTAAGTCATATATACAAATAAACATGTTTCGACACGCAGAAATTAAAAAATGTTGCGTTCAGTAATTAGTGATGTGACTTTCCATACCTATTACAACGTGCGATAAAAATAAAAAAAAATTAAGAAAAACACAAAACAATATGCACCCGATACTAGGGACCAAATACAGTAAAACGGCTTTTTTAATTTTTCGCTCAAGAATATGAAAAATTCAAAAAATTATTAAAAAAATTTTCGAGCATTATAGAATAAAAATATGGGTACCAAATGAGAGCGAAAATTCTACAGAACAAGAGCATTAAATTTTTTGCTTCAAAAACAGGAATAGATATTGATATAGAAAGGACAATTTCACTTTTACTTTCATCCTTGTGCACCAAAACATTTAATTTTCTTTTAATCTTACAGAATTTTCTCCTTTATTTGACACCCATATTGTTGTTCTACATTACACTGCATTTTTTAACTCATTTTTTATTTTACCATATCCTTGAAATTTCAAAGTCCTTAAAAAATTCTGACGTCAGAGAGAAAAATTAAAACGGCAGTTTTACTATATTCGACCCTGAGCTACGTGAGTATATTAATTTTTTTGTGGGAGACACGCTGCTATATGATGTCTGCATTTGTAGTCTACCGGCCAGGAGATAGTAATTTTTAAAAGAAGGGTTTCAAATTTATCGGAAATAATTTTGCTATACGCTTAATAGCCAAAACTGCTTGGAATTGATTTTCATGAAGCTACTGAAAAACTCAGACACAGTTGTAGTGCAAATATTTTATTTATTACAAATTTTCTTCGAAAATGCTACAAAGATAGACTACCGAGCGCATGAATGTTAATAAGGAAAAAATTAAAAAAATAACGCATTTTTGTAATTTTTTTATTTTGTTGGCTAAAAATATTAGCTACTAGCGAGGGTCAAATGAAAATATGTAATAACTTTTAGTGTGAAAAAGAAGCAGGAAATAATGTTACTTACACGCCATATCGTACACAAATTACTAAGAGTTATGGTGGTTACATATTTAAGCTTCGTTTCAATTCGAGTGCACAAAATCTAAGTATTATGTATATTCTGG